TTGGGGTGGTCTGGTAGGCAGTCAGAAAGCTCTGCAGGGCTGCCGCTCCGATTTTCAGTCGAGACGCCAGGTGCTTGGGTTTTTGTGCCGCTTCCCAGAGATCCGATGCCGTGATTGTTTCAATGCGGGCTCCCCCGAAGCCTCGACCCATTCCCGAGGGCAGGTTTTTCATCCTGAGTCGTGTTCTGACGGACCTGGGGACCAGCGAGGGCCCCTGGAGGCCGACAGCTGCGAAAAAAGCCCGTCCTGATTTCTTCGACACGTTGGATCTCCGGGTCTGTGCTCCTCTGCAGGCTGGGGGGCTACTGCTGCCTGGCGGCCCCGAACCCGTTCGACTACTGCGGCTCCTGCCCCGGCTTCGCGCGCGCGCCCGAGGGCTCCGGGTGCGGGGCCTCGGAGGACGGCTGCGGCGGATGCGGGCCCCTTGCCAGGTGGTGCGAGCTCGAGGAGCCCGCGCCCCAGACGTTCACCACCAGCCATGCGCCCAAGCGCTCCGGGCAGGCAGCCGTCAGGCTCGGAGCGAAGGATCGGGTGGGCCCCCAAGCTCGGAGGAGGAAAGGGTATCCACACCGCGCTACCCTTCCCTCGCTTTCCTCTTTTTGGGCCTCCTGGGGGGCCCTCGTCGCCTCCGCTGGATTCGCCTCGAAATTCTGGTCAGAACGCACCCCGGGAGAGGTCCGTGGAGTAGCTGTATGGGTACCTTTCGGTCTCCCCACAAACTGCGTGGTGACCACACCGCGTGGTGAGTAAGGGCGGCCCGGGGTCGCCGCGCGGTTTGGGGCTCGGGTCGTTCTCCGAGGACGTCACGGGCGACTGGGGCCTGCGAGGTCCCAAAACCGTGCGGTGACGGACCGCGCGGTGAGGTCGTTGGGGGATCCGAGGTCACCGCGCGGTCCGTCACCACACGTTTTTTCATCGAGCGCGTTCCATTGATCGCAAAGTGCCTACTCGCAACCGTCCAAAGGCACATGCGGGCCCCAACTGTCATGGATCGCAGATCCCCCACGGCGGATCCAGGCCATTTGCGAGTGGCTATCGAATCGCTTCGCTCATTCCGCCGGCCCATATTGCATCACTGGTGCTGCTACATGCTTGTGTGACCGTGGCGAGCGAGGATGAGGAGGATAAGGATGATGATGAGGAGGGGGAGGAGGAGGAGGAGGAGGAGGAGGAGGAGGAGGAGGATGAGGAGGGGGAGGAGAGATGGAGGAGGAGTGGTCCGAGGATTCGTGCGGGATCAGGAATGATGCTTATAGTGATGCTGGGGGCGGAGTCTTGCGGATGATGGGCAAGAGGAGGAGGGAGGAAGGAGGGGGATGGAGGCGGATGCGGAGTAGTAGGAGGAGAGGATAAGATGGAAAGAGGCGCCAGCGTATGCTGGAGGAGGATATAGGCGGAGGAAGAGGGGGGGATGGCAATCTAGGTGCGCTCGCCTCATATCTGACATCCTACCCCTTCCTCCCATCCCTTACCATGGCGTAGATCCCCTCTCTACTCGCACAGTCGGATGTCGAGCAGGGCAATGATCCCGAAAGGGTACGCGATGCATTGTGAGCACGGCATGGCATGGCGTAGAAGAGCACCGCAAAGCGTAGCATCAACCTAGCATTGCATTGCATGCCGTGGTATGGCACGGGAAATGACGCCAGCGCTGCAGCGGGAGCACGAGTCGAAACGGGCGGAAGCGCGGAAATGAGGCCAGCGCTGCAGCGGGAGCACGATTCGGAACGAGCGGAAGCACGGGAATGAGGCCAGCGCTGCAGCGGGAGCACGATTCGGAACGAGCGGGGCCCGAAAATGAGGCTGGCGCCTCAGCGAGAGCAGCATTTTGAAAAAAATGCAGGCGAAAACCCAACTCCGGGGAAACCTGTGTGTAAAAAAACAGTACGCGGGGGGGGGTCGGCCACTTTCAAACCGTCATCAGGGGAAGAGGGAGAGTAGTATTCATATTGAGTAATTTGGGGGGAGGAGGAGGGAGGAAGGGGGAGGAGGGAGGGAGGATGAGGGAGGGGAGGGAGGGAGAGGGTTGAGGAGAGGGAGGAGGAGGGATAGGAGAGGGAGGAGGAGGGAGGAGGGAGGGGGAGGAGGGAGGAGAGGGAGGAGGAGGAGGGAGGAGGAGGGGGGAGGAGGGAGGAGGAGGGAGGAGGAGGGAGGGAGTAGGAGGAGGGAGGTGAGGCGGAGGGAGGAGGAGGGAGGAGGAGGGAGGAGAAGAGGGAGAGGAGGAGGAGAGGGAGGAGGAGGAGGAGTAGGGAGGAGGCAGGAGGGAGGGGAGGGAGGAGGAGGGAGGAGGAGGAGGGAGGAGAGGGCTGAGGATGGCTGCGGTTTCGTGAATGGCTTCTGGATAGGAGGGATGATGATTTAGGCTTTAGGAGTATGTCAAGAGGAGGGAGGAGGAGGGTGCCATCGCTAGCGTTTAGGGGGCCTCTTTGGGGCCTCCGGGGGGCCTCTTGGGGGCCTCTTGTGGGGTTCTCTTGGTGGCTCTTGGCGGCCTCTTGGAGCCTCTTGGGGGGCTCTTGGGGGCTTCTTGGGGCCTCCTGGGCTCCTCTTAGGACCGAGGGCTCGAAATGTTCGTTCGGGTTCCCCGTCTGGCCCCATCTTGGGGCCGTCCTGGGGATCTTGGGCCTCTTGGGCCGTCTTGGGGCCCTCTTGGGCCATCTGAGGGCTCTCTTGGATGCCTCTTGGGCCGTCTTGGGGCGATATTTTAGGCCTTTTGTTTCGTCTTTGAGCGTCGGGAAGCCGAACAGATGAGAACACCCAAATACTTCAAACACTGGATGGGAATCGATGGTTTTTGCCTCCTGGGGCCCTCTAGAGACGCTTCTTCGAGGCCTCTTTGGGCGTCTTGGGGGCGTCTGCGGCCGTCTGGAGGCTATCCTTGGCGTCTCGGACCGATCGGTCGGCGACTCGGAGCCCTCTTGGACCGTCCTGGCGACTCTTAGGGCGCTTTAGAAGCGTTCTGGGGCGCCTGAAAGCCGCCCCCGGAAGGAAAAAACATATCTGGGTTGGACCGCCCGGGGTATTTTGCGTCCGGGCGTCCCCAGGAGCCGCCCCCCCGCGCGCGCGAACTAGAATTATTGTTTACCAGTAGCCGGGGATCTTAGCACGCCTTTGGCCCGTTGGGCCAGCGAATTTTGCGAGTCGTGGAACGCGCTCGTCTAGGCTTCGAGCAGGGGATCGACTACAGAATTGATTTGTCCCCAAATTGATTTCCGCGTCGAGTTGACGAGACGAATGCGCAGAAAGCTCGTCGAGATACGGATCCCGCCCCGCATTTTCGTAGATTCGCCGTGCACATCCACTCGTTGGGGTGCATCAATTTTCTAGGCGATCCCCCCCGCTCGACGTTTTGGGGCCCCGCGGACCCAGAGATCCGATGCTGCGATGTTTTCAACACGGGGTCCCCGGAAGTCCCGAGGACCGGTTTTCCATCCCGAGTCTTTTGTGGATGGTCCTGGGGCCCCGCGAGGGCCCCTGGAGGCCGAAGCTTGGGAAAACAATGCCGTCTCGTTTTTTTGGCAATGCGATGGGTCTCTGGGAATTGAAGGAGGTCGTGGCGGAGGTGGTCGGGAAGCCTGGCGGGAACGGCTCGGCCTCCGAGCTGCAGGGCAAGTTCAGCGGCGCCCTCGGGGCGGCCGCGCCGCAGACCGCTGGCGTGCGCGGGCTGGCCCGGGCCCAGGGGGCGTTCCTCTGCCTGCTGGGGCTCGCGCTCCTGGCGCTCGCGTCGCTGGCGTGGCTTCGGTGGAGGCGGCGGGGGGCGGTTTTCCACCACCACTACTACAGGCAATTGGGAGGGGGAGGAGGAGGAGGAGGAGGAGGAGGAGGAGGAGGAGGAGGAGGAGGAGGAGGAGGAGGAGGAGGAGGAGGAATAATAATAATAATACTAGTGATAATAATAATACTAATAATAATATTAATAATAATATTAATAATAATAATAATAATACTAATAATAATACTAATAATAATAACAATAATAATAATAGTAATAATACTACTAATACTATTAATAATACTAATAATGGTAATAATCCGCATAATAAGAGTACTACTACTTAGAACAAGAGCAATAAAACACATAATGATAATTATACGAATAATATCAAGAAAGTTAATATTAATACTACTAATAATTATACAATTAATACTCATAAGAATAGGACTAATAATACGAATACTAAGAAGAAGAGGAGGGGGAAGAGGAGGAGGAGGATGCGGAGGAGGAGGAGGAAGGAGGATGGAGGAGGGAGGAGGAGGAGGAGAGGAGGGAGGGAGGAGGAGGCGAGGAGGAGGAGGAGAGGGAGGAGGAGGAGGAGGGGAGATGGGAGAGAGGAGGGAGGAGGAGGAGGAGGAGGAGGAGGAGGAGGAGGAGGAGCAGGAGGGGGAGGAGGGGGAGGAGAAGGCCTCTCTTCTCCCCCGTCCTACCTATGGTAGTGGTGGGGGGAAGTGGCCCATCAGAGGCGGCGCGGGGCGGTCGGGCTGGACGCGGGCCCGCCGCTGTCGGCGATGCCGATGGTTCAGGCGGAGGACTCCGAGCTCGAATTCGCCTGATGCCCGCATGGGACAGGGCGCGCCTCCCTTTCATGTGTCCAATTCGGGGCGCGGCCATTTGACCCGCCGCGCCTCGCGGAGGAGAGCATGGTGCAAGCAGTCTTCTAGATGTCTAGATGGGAATTCATGTTGCAAGGTAAGAAATTCGACTAGTAGCAGGAATGTGAATTCGCTCTGCAGGCCAGGAGCACTTGGCAGGAAGGTATGGGGCAGCTTTGCCCTCCCGTCATTCGCGGGGGGCACCTGGCGTCTCCGCCCGAGAGCACGCCTACCCCGCTCCTTCCTCCATCCGAATGGGCGCTGGACCTCTGTTCAGAGGTGCGATGACCGCTCTGCACGAGAAGCATTCGAACTAGTGAGCTAGAGAGGCCGGGCGCACTTGGGACGACCATGGGCTTCCTCCCCCAGGGCTCGTGCCTCCCCAGGGGTGCCTGGTCCTGGTCCTCCTTCTC